CAGTTTTTCAGGTTTCACTATCGTTCACCTATAGTTAGTGAGTGCTTTGCATGCAAACTACATGACAATCTGCTAGCAACCACAGCAAGGAGATTGTGTGTGTGTGTGTGTGTGTGTGTGCGTGCGTGCGTGCGTGCGTGCACGAGGGAGAGAGAGAATAATTGAGGCTGCTGAGCAGAGCGAACTCTCCCATGGGGATATTGATTAGAGTGTTAATTCAGAAGAATGTGAAACTGGAGCTGGCTGTTGCTGACTGGAAGAAAATTGGACAGACTGATCGAGGCAGGGGGTGGACAGATGGACAACATAGAGACTGACAGAGATATGACACAAACAGTCAGAATGACACAGCAGCAGGGATGATGGACAGATCCAGTGGAATTAACCAGAGCAAAATAAGGGATAAGCAGGATAAGCCCTTGAATGAATAAGCGACCGACTGAAAACAAACTGGTGGAAAGATACAGATGTGGCTGCAGATGTGACAGCAGAAGGACTGATAGAGAAAACAGCAAGGGACACAAATGGGGCAAGAAGTCAACAGATTGTTAAATGACACATCCAAGCATGTGCCCAGACAGAGCAGATTGCAGAGTTCATATCCAGAGTTTAGCAAATAATATTTTGTGGCTGTGTCTTTTTTTAAGTAATACTGTATTATGCAAAAGATACGTGCAATTTTAACATTTTTGAAATAGCTTTAAACACAGATACCCTGCAGAGAGGCTTTTGGGAATGCTGTTAGTTTGCAGGTATTTGGGTTACACCAACCTCCAACTCCGAAAGATGAAGTCAACATGAAAGTGGCTTAAAGTAAGCAAGTAAAATTTGTATTCATGTAGCAGCTTTAAAGATAGGTATCACAGAGTGCTTCACAACAAAAACGTTAAAATAGTAATAGGAAAGTTTACCTACAAGCAATTCTAAAAAGATCTGTTTTAGCTGCTTTTTAAGAGACCACAAAGTCCACACATCTCGGGCTCAGGAGGAGAGAGTTCCAGAGTCACAGTTGCAAAAGTGCCGTCACCTTTAGTTTTCAGCCTTGTATGATGCACAGCCAGCAGGCCCTGATCACTTGTCCTCAGGCCTCTGATGAGGATGTGATCCATGCAGAGCTCTAAATGTCAAAACCATAATCTGAAAGTGAACTCTGAAGTTCATTGGGGATCCAGTGTAACTGAATTAGCATTAGCGATGTGTGACATGAGAGTAACTAAGAAGACTGAGTGAGAAATCTGCAGGCATTCCAGGGAGGTGAATGGTGAATTACAATGTTCCAGATGTAACAAAATAAAAAACATGAATAACAACTTCCAATTCAGAGCAACATAGCAGAACTCAACTCAAGTGAAAAGTTACCCCATGGTTCCTCTCTTCATTAAGCTGGAGAAAATTACCGGCCATCCAACTTTTAATTCAGCATCGATGTAAGATCGGTAGCCAAGAAACATGGTGGGGCCAAAAAGAGGCAAACAGCTTGATACCATCTAAATAGCAATAATAAGAAATGTCCTTAAACGTGCTAAAAATGAACTGAAAACAGTGCAGGTATAACATAAATTATAAAGGCCCCAAAACAGCCATCTGTGACATACCATCAGTGTGTTTTCTTCTGTTTTTTAAATGGGTGGATGACAGCATCCTTAAAATAAAACAAAGACGCAGCTAAAATAGAGATTAAGAGATTTGGAGGATGGTTCCAATGAGTCTACTAGTTTTACCAGCTCATATAAAGAAACAGGTAAAAAACTTTCTAAAATAACAGTCCGAGCTGGAGTAGGAACAGACAATGAAGATGTGCCAAAGGAGAAATATTTTTTTCTTCTCTCTCTCTATATATAATATTCTAACCTCCTGTATACTTTAATATGTTTCTGCTTCAGTTTTTGGTGGGTGAAATTCTAGCAGTTTAATCTTCCACGACTTAGCATTAATTAGCAACTATGTTTGATTCCCAACTAAGCTAACTAGCATTAGCTAATAATTTAGCTAATTTTTTTAAGTGTCTAGCTTTAAAAAACAACACAGCCGTGGCCAAAATGCTAACATGTGGGGTCATAGTGGCTACATCCATCTTTTATACTGTTTAAATTGCCATATATTGCCATGTTAACATTTTTTTTCTCTCTAGAGCTGATTTGGCCCAAGTTAATAACTATTTGGGTAAATTGTGTTGGTTTATGTTATGCATGATTCGAGGCCAGGCCCTTTTGGCTGACACATGAGTCACTACGCAGCTGATGAATGAGGTTTTGCAGACACATGAATGTTAACCAAATGACAGTGAGTTGTCCATCATTTTTGGAGAGTGTAAAATTTGCATTCCTCAGCCAGTTTGGCGAGTGTCGTTGCTGGAGTTTGATGGTAGTCCCTGGGAAACCAGTTGCTAAATGCCCATTTATACAGACCAAGGGACTGGTCAGTGACCCCCAGGCGATCACTAGTTGCCAAGGAAGAATTTCCCAAGAAGTTGGTAAACCTCCTTGTGATTGCTTTGATCACTGGCAGATATTAGTGTGCACAAAAGTTGCCAACTTGCCCAGAAAAACATATTGGCTACTCTCTGAGCAGTTGTGAAACCGGGAGAGGAGACCATTTGTCACCTCTTGAAACCTGTTTGCTGCAACCATGCATCACAGTTTTTCAGGTTTCACTATCGTTCACCTATAGTTAGTGAGTGCTTTGCATGCAAACTACATGACAATCTGCTAGCAACCACAGCAAGGAGATTTTTTGTTGCAGCATCTTCTTTGTGACTGATTTCACCTAGTGACAGCCAGCAACCTCAAGGGACCGATCACCAGTGGGTGAACTTGTATCACATACAATACGGCAGACAGTTCTCAAAGAAAGATGATTTGTTAAAATGGTAGACAAATAAACCAGTGGGTAATACCAACATCCAAGAGGTGTTAGAGGAGTGAGAGAATCTCCAGATTCACAAGGACTCAACTTCTTGATACACGGTTAGTCAACAAGCTCTCCATGAGCTGTAACTATCTTTGTTACCACAGAGCCAGCCAGCTGTCCCCCTGTGAGAACAAACTATGCCCGCTTATCCTTTGGAGGTTTGTACGAGATTGGAATCGATCCAAACTGACATTAGGTTAGAGGCGAGGTACACAATGGACAAGCTGCCAGTCAATCACGACGCTGACACACAGATACAGACAATCATTTAGACCACGAGTAAAAGCAGTGCAGAGTCACCAGTTATCCTGGATGTCTTTGGATTGTGAATCTGAAGCAGAGGTGCAGCATTTTAACATCACAGCGAGTTAAAGTGTAACTTTGAAATGAAGATCACATGATCAACAGTATACTACTCTATCAATGGAGATTACAAAAAACATCCTATCTGCCGAGAAGGTGAACTAAACTAAATAAATATTGCAACTATACTCTTCCTGTGAATATAATAAGACATTTCCTGTCTTTATTTTGATACTTCTGGTGTTTTTGGAAACTTTGGAATCACCACTAAAATTATAAATAATGTTTATTGACTTTGAATAATTTTAACATGCACAGCATAACTTTGAACAGATGGGCTGGTGGATCTGGCATAATGAACATATTAAACTTTCTATTTTTAAGGTGTCTGTATTACAGAAAGTAAAATCTCACTACTTAAGCAGCCAATGTAACTAAACAAAGAAATGCACACACATTATAAAGCTTTTAGCTGTTGGAGCTTACACACATCCTCAGACAAACATATTGAGAGCAAAGTCGCCCTCTGATACTTTGTGTTGCCCATAATGGTGACAGATTTGTGGCTGCTCTGCCATCTGATAATGACCCACATCCCTCCAGGAATTGCTGCGTGCATGTTAGATATTGTGTTACTGCTTGGAACAAGTGTGCATGAGCGCGGGTCCTTATTTAATTGTGGTATCATACAACCGAATGCAATGATTTACACCCACAGAGTTCAGTTTATATGAGTAGAGTGGGCTGATAGCAGACAGGCACTAAAGATTTGACATTTACTAGATGGGATAATCACATCATTTGGGAAATAAAGTAGTGTTTGAGGAGCTGAAATGACTAGCAGAGTGTTTCATGTTTATACGCGGCATCTGAATATTTTGCCATTGTGCTGTATGTGTGCGTGCATGCATGTGTGTGTGTGTGTGTTTACCATTCTGGCTGATGTTGGACAGGTCAGTGATGATTTTGTTGGCCTTGTTTCCCTTGTTAGAAGGAGCAGGAGTTGTAAGGGACATGGCTAAAATACAGAACAGACAAAATATGTTTGAAACATTAATCACAGGTCTACCCTTCCACCACTTTTTTATACACAGAGAGAAAAGTACATGGCACAGTCTAAAAGAGATACTGATGGTAAATATTTCTCCTTGATCTAATAGTCAGCATCAGCTGTTTAAAAACAGTCGATCCTTAAGGACTTCCTATCAACAGCAATCACCAGCTACTTGCCATCTATTTGTCTGTTGCTTGGGATGAGCAGAAAGAACAACAATATATTAAAGTTATGATATATTTCTTTATTTTTTTTATGTTTACTATACTAATGCAGATTTTAAATTAAATTATATGGCATATGTGTAACATGCAGGTTCTCACATGTATTAGAAAAGTGGACAAATTATCACCAACTTCTGGTTCCACATTCGAGAATCTTTTCACTCACAGCAGTTTTACAATTTGGTTGAGTCTCATTACTCCTTTAATCAGTCTGGCCAAGGCAAAGCGTTGCTTTCACCTAAAAATTTGTAACGAACCGATTGTATGCTTCTTGTCTAACATATTTCCACATTTCACTCAGGGGCTGGTGGAGACCAAAATAGAGCTAAAAGGAGAGCTCAACATCAATCCATACAAGTACTGCTTTTGTATGTAGCAGAGGTGGAAGATAGTTAGCTGTCCAAGGTAAACATTTGGGGTGGATACAAGGGTCAGCTTGAAATCAGACTCATCCTTTTGATATTTTAACTTAATTCAGTCACTTAATCCATTCTTGTTTTGAAAGGCAAAGACAGTTTATACACAGTTTACAGCCTGTTAAACCACCCCAGGAGGTCAAAATACTTATAATATTTCTATAATAAACCACTATAAGGACCAATAAATACACACCAACATCACTGGTTCCATGACTTCACTCATTTTATACTTTTATTTCTTTGCTTTTATGCTTCTTTTTCTTTAATTTAATCATGTCTGCCTTTGTTTTTGTCTCTTTTGATTATCTTAAATGTACAGCACCTTGGTCGACAGTTGTTGTTTTAAATGTGCTATATAAATAAATATGACTTTGACTTTGACCACCAGAAAAAAACACCAAAAAGGCGTATTAATAACTACCATTATTATTGACATTGGCATAATTGCTTTTATGTTCTGTGTTAGACTTTGTATCCTAGGAATAAATTGTCATGACTTGTTTAATATACTTTAAGAGAGGTTTAAATGAATATTAAGAATTACTGCCCAAAGTTTGGATTACATCATGATAGGATTAGCAACTAGATAGTGGCTGGCAACGAAATGTAAAACAGCAAAAGTGTAAAATGTTTAAGAAGAAGATGCAAACTTAAGTTGTATATCAGCCCCAACAGAATCTTACTGGGCTCCCTAATTAAATAAGGTGCTCTTTAAACATAAAGTGTATCTCCTGCATTCCCTTATGGACACTAAGCAAAGGTGGAAGCTCATGCCTGTCTTGACTAACCACTCAGATCGAGCCTGGCAGTATATCGTTGTCAATTTCTCAGGTCGAAAGCAATTAAGCGAAGCTGGAGGTGAGTCTTACTAAAAGAAAAAGCAGGAGGGCCTGTCTACAGGGAGACAGTTAATGTAATTGCTTTTCATCTGCTGTAATTGAAGCTCGTTTCCTAGCCGGGGATTCAGTCCTGTGTGAGCTATTTTTATGAGCCCATGTTCTATAGCACTCTGGTGAGTGGGACTGTCATCGACATAAAACATACATAGAAATTCAGCACACACACACACACTCAGACACATCAACAAAAGCACACTCACACACAGATTTGCATTCAAATAGCTCTACTCTTGTGATTAATGTGAGTCAGTGGCTGGTGGATTAAAAACTGGAGATTACAGGTGTTTTTGGATGTTCTCTGGGAAATGCAAGATGGAGGCAAACTGCTGCGTTGATGCAACTACAGGAGCTGAGAGTGAAGCCCTGGGTCCTGTTACTGCCTCTCTAAGTGAAGACACGCTCCTGTCCCCAACGAGCAGCCTGTTTTAGCTCCAGATAAATCTCGAAGGGACAGCTGGGGAGGAAGGCTATCAGTCAGCACATTCCCAAATGCACACATACATCCTCGTGAACTAAAAACTCCACCGGAGAAGGCCAGATTCCTCAGGGACTACAGTGTTAGGTAAGAAGTTTAGGAGAGGAGATGGAATAAGCTGTCCACCAGCTGGCTTTCATGATCTGACATGGTTTAACTGATTTTTCAAGACGTAAAGTGAAAAAGGGTGTAAACAGTAACACAACTGCAAATTCATGCACACAACAGTATTAATTTAAAGGCTGTCTTAAACAGTTGCTGTCTTTTACCATAGCAAACAGTCCAGTCTGCAGTATACTGCTGAGCATCTGCTGCTGATACTCATTAATTCATCCAGCCACAGAGGGCTCATAAGGCCTCAGATGGGACTCCCTCCTGCAGCCAAAATCTGCTGACCACAGGACGTCAGCGAATTTAACTGGAACTGTCTGCTTGTTCTTAGAGGATCGCAAACTATCTGACAACTCAGTGGCCATCAATACCAGATAATCCACAAACATTCAAGGCATGTGTGAGAAAGGCTTTAATGGGTTTTGTCGATGCTATCGCACATTTTCACTTCTCCAGCGTCTTACCTACAAGACCCAGGGTGTCCGCACGAAGACAAAAGGTCCCAGAGGATGAGGAATCTAAATTCCCAGGTAGATTTGTATCCCCGCGCTAATATTGCACTGCCTGCCCTGCTGTTCGCCCTGCAGAGAGTGAGACTCTGTCTGGAAAGCTGCAGGAGGGGTGGGAGACCAGGGTGAGGTGGTGTGGGGTGGGGTGAATTGAGTAGAGGGTCTAGAGGGAAGTGGGTGTGGTGTTGGTAATATGAAGCACAAATAATGTATTTTTTAGTATTAGGTATCTATCTAACTATCCGCTCTACCATAATTGTTCCCATCTGTCTCTCATTTTCCAGCAACCATTCCAGCAACTTCCAAGAAAAGCAACTTAAATGATAACATTTTGCTGGTAATGTTCAGCACTGAAATGCTGACTAACAGCAAGGTTTCTGTTTATGTGTTTTTATGTGTAAGGGTTAGTCTCATCAAGACTGTTGTTCCAGTTTTAAAAGGTCAAGCTGGTATTGATGCCAATGCCATTATCAGTCCTGCTTATAAGTCTGAGTCATCGTTGATTCCCTTGTTGATTCTTTCACACTTTTCTCCGCTTAAAGAAGCAAGCCTACATAGGTTTTTGGGATTAACACTGTTTTATTTTCTGAACGCAGTGTCGAAACAGAGCTGGAAAAATGCATCAGGGAGTCTACTAAAGTCTTGACTTCAAAATTATCAGAAAAAACCATGCCAGCATCCACAAAAGGAGTTAACAAGCTTGGAGACAGGTGGTTTGATTTGAAACAACAATTCGGATCCAGTCCGTGATTCCCAGAGGAATTTCTGATTGTGTCTCAGGCAGTATCCTAAATCTTAAAATCTCAATCTATTTCCCTGGCAACAACATTGCCAGGGCAATGATACAAACATTGCAGAGATGAGTAATTCAGTGAATTCCTCCAGCCTCTTTAGACTGCAGGTGGATGTGGGCTTTTGATAACAAACACAAAAGAATAGAACAGGTTTGTTGAAGTTTATTTGCCTGAGGCCATTTATCCTCTTGTTTATATCTTTTACTCCCCCTCTGACAGGCATTTGCCCTTCACCCCGCAAACCTTTGGGAGTGATCAGCAGCTTCAAGCATTAGAAGAAGTTAGCAGAAGTTACAACTGCATCCTCCTCAGTTTTTTGGAATCAACCAGTAAGACATTATTTTATCCAGGGAGGTACATCTCTGGGACAAGACTATAAAGCCTCTGTATTTTAGTGTTCTGTCACTGAGTTTTGTGCAGGTAAGAAATGATGGTTGAAAAGCCCTCTGGGATCGACTGATCATCTGGAATAGACAAAAGTTTCTGAAAATGAAACAAAATTTTCAAAGCAGCTATAATCCATATTTGTAACTGCATACAATCAAGTTCTCTTGTGCTAATGAATATACAGAATTTTTTTCATTTTTCCATCAGCTTTACAGAACAGTTTTTTTCCAAGCACTGTTTTCAGGTGTCTCCACATATTTCCCTGGAGCTAGCAGAGAACAAACACAGATCTAAAAGAGTTAAATATATAAGAAACTTGTTTAAATATTAGAGCCATAAGATTTCTCCTAACAAAACTCAAATTTAAATGTTTAAGCATGTGTTTAAACATTGTCCTAGCATGGTGTTATTAGCTTTTCAGTAATAAAAAAAATTACAAAAAACTGAAGAAAAAGTTGTTAACTAAACTTCATGGCTATCCACTGAATTGCTGTCAACATGTTTGACTTAAAAACCTAAAATCTCACAGCGATGCTAGAGGGAAAATCTGCAAAATTCATCCAGTAACCTTTGAATACAGTCTGACTGCATCACAGAGGTGACATATCCCAAGAGACACATCTCTGTGGTGATCCTAAAACTGAATAGGTCAAGTGACCTCAACACAAAGTATGTGTGTAACTAGCCTTCAAATCCATCAGGAATTCAAACTCACACTTTGAGCATCTACTAACCTTGTTTTTTTATGACTAATTTACCTCTATCAATACTTTAACCAGGTGGATAACAAAAAAAGAAAACGTTAAAGGAAGTGTTTAGTTTTAAATAACCTAAAAATGAGTGACCCAAACTTAAAAAATTCAACAATGTCCCTTAAACCTGGACCCTTGACCCTAAATGGTTGACTCTGCTGACCCAGAAAGATGGTGCGAGGGAACGGCCTCTTTAGCAGAGCAACAAGAACAGGCTGGATGTATGAGGTAGCACTTCCTCTCTCTCAATCACATTGTAGAAAAAGCCATCAGAATTAAGAGTCGAGCACTGGGCCAAATAGCTGGAGATTAACGGCTCCAAAAATAGGTGAAATGGGCTCTGTATGTGTGTGTCACTGAGCAAGAAAGGAATTAACGGGGAAGAGGATGGCAACCAAAAGAGAGAGAATTATAGAACTCATTTGGTAAAAGGACATTTAAGTCCTTATATAGGTGCGGTTGCAGCTTTTATGCGGTTTAAATCCAAATTTAAAAATTGCATGAAATTATCCACTTACCTGGTAAGTAGAAAAAAATGTGTGTTTCCCTTCCACGCAGCATCTAAACTTACCTTCAGACCTGAAGAGGACTAAAGTTTACAGCTAAAGTTAGCACTGTCTGTCAACTGATCCCAGTCAAGGGTTAAAGGTTAGATCCCTTTCTGGTGCCATGGCTGGGTTTCACAGCTCCAAGGCCATCATGTGACTGTCAGTAAAGCACTTTGAAATGTATGCTATCAAAACTACAAGGACACTATCAAATACAGCAATCAATCATTGGAGCAGAAATAGCAGGTGGGGAAAAGGAATGTGTGTTTTTGAATTGATTTGTCTTCATCTTAGTCAGTTGATTTATTAAATATTCTGCATACTTTCAGGATCTTGAAGAATAAGGGAGTCAAGACGAATTACTGTTAAGATTTAATAGCAATGAACTGTAAAATCTAGGAAGAGACATAAACTGTTGTGGTGAAACATGTTTGCATGACAAATCTTACTGTGCCCCCCTGTGGTGGAAGTTTAAACTACTACGGAAACCACTTTCTCAAAGCCAATACTGCTGTTTTAATACCTGGCGTCAACGCTGCGTGAAACCTTAGAGAACAGCTGTGCTGCCAGAAGGATCAATAAATGCTCACAGAAGAGGAAAAAATTGGAAAAAGTGATGGGTGGAGGAGATAAGGGGCACCAGTGTGGGAGTGGGTGGTGACGTGAGGGACACAGGGAGAAACCGAATGACAGCTGAGGTGAGTCACGTCTATTTTTATTCAGCCGCATGTCTCTGTGGGAAAGAATCAAAGCTAAACAGACGTGTTATCGCTCTCTTGTTTCATATCAACTGATGAGAAATCAAATCTACTGTAAAAAGCATTTCCCTGGAAAACTACAGCAAACAAAGCACACACACACACATGCACACTGCTGCAGAGTGAAACTACAAAAACACAATCACTGAACACAAATTCTTAGAATATATTTATCAGAGCGAGAGTAACAGGAGCTACTTCCTGTCTGTAAAGCAGGATATCTAATAGGATAGCAACAGGTTTGTTTACAGAGTGTCAAAGCTGCACTTTTTACACACGTCAGACATCTTTTCATCGTGTCACTTCATTCTACAGCAATCAATCATTTGTTTCCTGTGTTTCCTTTTCATCCTTTCCCATCTGACATTTCTGTCACACCAGTTTTATCGTTACACATCCTCTACTCTTCAGTTTTTTATGTTTTAATTTACAGAACTTATTGCAGTTTACTCCAACTTCTTTCTTTCAGCCTTTCTAGCCGGTAGTTGATTTGCAATTCTTAAATCTTCCACACGTTCCAACTCTACTTTTATCATTCAGAACATAGTTTCTTTTAATTAGTATATAACCAAATACTTGAGATGAATAAATGAAAGTGATTAAATGATCAAATTTTCTACAAGCATGGCCAATCCAAGCAGATGTTGTGATTTTTATCACCAGCCCTTAACTGCAGCTTTAAAAAACAATATTACAACACTAAAAATGCATGTTTAAAAAAATATTGCTCTGTGTTCCTATAGAGCCCTTATTCATTTTGTCCAGTGCAGCTTCTTTTCAGTGCGTGGTGGAACTGGGACGCCAGACGCAAGGCTGCAGACCCAGGTTGGACGTGCTGAACCTAGGCCTGGGGACCCTGCTGGGTTGAGTGCTGCTGGAGGCCAGCTGAGGGGGGTGAGCAGGTTGTAGTGGACTTAGATTTGGAGTACTCTTAATCTGCCTGTTAGCCTGTGCAGCACTGGAGGACTGGGAAAATGTAGGAGAAGCATGAGCAGAGGAGAAGGTAGGTAGCCTAGGGAGTGGGGTGGTAGGTGCAGGAGGCGGTGGGGGAGACAGCAGGGAGGTGGCCCACTGAGGCTGGCTCGGAGGTGAATAGCACTGGAAGGGTTTGGCACCTTCACTGGGTGGAGGAGACATGATATCAGAGCGTCGGAGGGGTTCCCCAAGTGTCGTAGCTGATCGAGGTGCAATAACTTTGAGGGTGGGCCCTGTGGCTGTCGGTGGAGGTGTGGAGAAGCGTTTGACCTCACAGACTCGTGCTGTTTTCTGAGGACCACCTGTTAGTCCACTATGCTGCTGATGGGTGGAGGTGTCTTGGAGAGCCCCACTTCCATAGCTGAACAAAGAAGAGTTGAGCTGGTAGGGCTGGTGGCTCATGATGTCCACAGGCTTGAGGCCTGCTTTCTGCCCCTTAGGTCCAGCTGCCCTAGACTTCGTGATCTCGGGTTTCTTCTGTGCCTTAGGAGGACAGGAGGGAGATAGGAGAGGGTTGTAGTTGATGGGAGGTGGAGCACGGATATTGGATGAGTACTTCCATGTGGCAGGGAGGGAAGGTGTGGGTGAGGGGTCCCTTGTCTGAGCAGGAGAGTAAGGGGCAGCAGCAACAGATGGAGATCGCTCTACAATGTACCGATCCATCCTGTTCTGTCTCCGAGCAAACAGCTGGCCTCCTTTCCCTGCCAGCTGTGGCACTTGAGGGGTCTGTGGTTTGGGGGCTACAGGGGGTGCTCTGGATCCACGCTGTGCCTGCATAAAGTTGCAGGCCTCTGCCCCCAGCCTCAGCCAGTCCTCTTCAGGGCCTGATTCATGCCCAGTCTCCCCACTAGGTGTAACTCCAGATTCACCAGTCGGGGTTCTCTCAAAGCGGTCATCCATGTTTTGGACCATTGACAGCAAGTCCGGGTTTGGAGAGACATCTCTGTTCTGGACTGAGTGGAACATTGGCTTCTTGTTGCTACGACGACGGGCATCTTGCAGGATACCAGTGCGAGACGCTGGGACTGAGATGCGTTGCTCACGTGTCACCGGGGAATCATTGACAGGAGCCTGGGCAGGTGATGTAGCATCTGTCAAGTTATTGTAGGTATGGAAAGATGGAGAAGGAGGAGGCTGGGGTGCAGTAGGAGGAGGAGGTGGTGGGGTGTATTGGGCATGGAAAGAGGTCTGATTAAAATTTTGGGGGTGAGGTGGGGAGATGGGAGGAGCTGAAAAGCAGTTGGAGGGGGGTTGATTAGCAGAAGCAGGGGGAGAGAGATATGACGGTGGAGCCAGAGGGGAAAAGGTTTGAGCTGGTGAGGCACATGGCAGAGAACCTGCAGAGGGAGAAAATGGGATGGAAGGGGAAGCATGCACTGTAGGCTGTGGAGAAAATGTGTGTGTAGGAGGCTGCGCGAAAGATGCAGAAGACAGGGAGGAGGGAGGTGAGAGGGCTGGCGGGGGAGCGGTAACAGAGGGTGAAGTGTTGTTGGTGCTATTTCTTGGCGGGATATACAAAGATGTGCTAGACACTGCTCTCCTTGCATCTGATGGAGGGTGAAAAGTTGGGATATTCATTGTGGAGACAGCGGCCACAGGTTTGGATACCATCGTTATGGGCGTGGGCTTGGGCTGGGGAGGCCGAAACATCACAGAGGTCACAGACGCACGAGAAGGGGTGGAGCCAGAGTTGAAAGGCCTCGCCGTGCGGTTCAGAACTGCAGGGTTAGGAGTGAAGCTGGAGTTATTGTGTGAGTCTATGATTGGGTTGGGACTATGATTAGGAGAAGGATCAGGGTTGCCATTTTGACTTTGGAGGGGTGTCTGTGAGGGCATGCTCAGCACAACACTAGCCCGACTGACAACTGCTGACCCCCCATTGGTCAGAACCACAGCTGATGGAGACATGTGTGAAGGGGGGTGGTTGCTGTTTGGTTTCTTTGTGAGGCTGCTTGATTCTTGATAGGCTGAGCTCTCCAGTCGTGATCCTTCCAAACCTGGCCTTAGATTTGCAGAAGTCACACGTCCTGGGGTCTGATATGCAGAGATGTCCAGTTCTGCACCCTGATTGGTTGTTGGAGAAGTCGGTGTAGTCGATGGGCAGGCAGAGCTCCTTCTGTCCAGCAGGTCCAGATAACCAGTGTCCCACGTAGGGTCAAATGATCCCGAGAATCCCTCTTCCTCAAATTCTGAGCCACTTAGAATGGAACTTCCTCCTTCTTCCTCAGTCTCTCCTCCTGTCTCCCCTTCTGTGTCCCCTCCTCTATCTCCCTCAGCTTTGCCAAAGCAGGTGAGTGTGTACTTTTTGGCTCTCTGTCGGCGTTTCTTGAACATAAGCACCCCTTTCGAGTTGGGGTTGGGAGCATCAGTGAGCAGAGATGCAATGGAGCGGCATTTAGTACGAGCTTCCTTCACCTGTTTTTCCACCAAACTCTCCCCGCGCTGTAACTCTGCAAGACAAGAAGAGTACAGAAATAAATCAACTGAAAGAGAGCGGAAACAGAGGGGAGAAGCAGCAATGAGATTTTTGACGAATACAAAAAAAGACACAGGCGACAAGTACAGGAAACGTAACAATGTGATAGCGTGAGTAGTGGCTGATTAATACAGCATTATCACAGTGAGGAGCTGCGATGAACAGTGACAGACAGGAGTGCGTGTTGTGGATTTGGAACAAAGAATTCCTGCTGCTCTCCAGAGCTGAGTCAGATAGTCCAGGAAGGTTAAATCACAGTGTCTCTCCTGCACAAATCCTTGACTGTGCCTGTGTGCGTCATGGATTTTTGTGAGGGACATTTAACCGGTCACGTTTTCATGGCAAAAGCTTGGCCCTGTAATTACAGCATTTTAGGTAGAAGGCTAGTTTTAAGGTTAAAGTTAAAGTAATAGTAAATGATAGTTTTAGGTTATGTCTCCAGCAAATTAATGCGATCCAAAGCAAAATAGTTGAGGTGATGGAAGTGATGGAAACTGTGTGGAGAAACTGCATGTGCACATTTGTGTATCCCTGCTTAGTGCTATGCTATTTGTTCGTCTTAGTGTCTGGCTCACCTCACGTAAATATGCTACTGACATAACTGTAGACTGATGACTGATGACTGACCCTGGCACACACAACGTTGTGTATTATGTTAAAAGTAATAATGAAAATGCACTACTCCAGCACTTTAAAATATAGTCAGCAACCTATTGTTTAATTTTCTAACATTTAACAATAACTATAACATACTTACCATTTCTTAGCAATACTGCAACAGTAAACAACAGAACAAAAGCCTAAAAATTTTAGGTTTTAAAGAAGAGACGAAACAAAGAACAATCTAAAAGTAAGTAGTGGTTACACATGCAAAGGCTCTTCACTCTTCCTCCTATTTGTTACCCTTAAATGCAATAACTGAAGCGCATCATAAGCCAAAAGCCCACACTCCAAATACTAATAATATGTCATTACAACATGAAAAGAGGAAACACTGTTGTCCTATCCTCATGTTATGTGTCTGCTCTCCTGTTACTCCATATGTCATTTCAGATACTGTGAATTACACTTTAAATCTTGAAAAAATTTGATGAAATTACACCACAAGGTGCTACTGCACAGTCTGTATCATATTTTATGGCATTCCATCCTAACAAAAGACAATCTGCTGGCACTGCGAGAAGAAAAGTCAGAGGGTCACCAAAGCTATTAGGGTTCAGCATCAGGGGACCATGAAGGAAAGAAATAATAATAATAAATAACCATTAGGTAGCTGTTTGTTTCAGTCTGGTCCACAGTGCTGGTATCCTTTGCCATTCATAAAGCCATGCCAACAGTATGCAGCATTAAAAATAACTATTAATAATTTGTAACTTTTGTACCGTTTATTATTTGCATCAAGTCCCACAATAAGGAATATACACTGTTCAGATAAAGCACAACTGCATGAGCTGGTTTAAATTGTCTTTACAGCGCAGAATGGCACAGAGTTAACATTTTCAGTCGTTTCAGCATAATCAGTCAAGTCTGCTTACATGACTCAGAAATTTGGTAATTCTTCTTGATCTGAAAATAAAAAAACAAACATTTCACTCCAAAGTGATATGTCTTCCAATGCTTCTATAGTAGCTTATGTCTACTTCAAAGGGTGTCATTGATCTTACCTGCGTACACAGTCCGTGGGACTGTCTGTCCACCTACATCTGAACCTGCAGAAGATGTGAGGTCCCTCATCTCATGAGTGTGAATGCACGCTTGTCCTTGACCACCCTCAGACCCTCCCACACACACCCTAACAGTGTCCAAGTCGGCTGTGAGTGGGGAGCCGTTTAGTCTGTGTCTACCAGCCCTTCTCTCAGGGCACAGCCCATGTAAAGACCTTTGTCTCTCTCTAGCACCAAACCAACACATGATGTCAGCCCTCTATTCCTGTCGGTGTGACAGGCATCAAACACCTGTCTGGTCTCTGTCACAGACGCGCACACACAAACACACACACAAGGACGGGAAGACCCCATCACCAGAGGATATTTAGACACCAGTGTCAATGTGTGTGTGTACGTGTATATGAGTTCATAAAGCCAAATATAGGTTACAAAGAAAAGCGTGGTCATAACTCTTTGCTGATGTGCCGTTCTCTCCTGCTGACACCTCACACCTGACTAACACTGCACACACAGACGCATAACTCTTTAGAGCTAATAATCCCATACCTAAAACCAATGGCTGTGTGTGTGTGTGTGTGTGTGTGTGTGTGTGTGTGTGTGTGTGTGTGTGTGTGTGTAACATGAGAAAGGGCAGATCTCTGGACGCCACAGTCATGGTTCGTCCTATAGCAAAGGCCTCACCATACACCAAAGTCATTCAGGTCTAGGGCCTCTTGAACTGGATGACAGATCTTTCATTTCTGCAATGTTTGCTCATATTAAATCTGAACTCAGTCACTACATAGCTATTAGGTTTAATCAGCTATCATCCTTATTGCCTTGTTGAAATGATAGGTTAGCTAGACCGACTAAAGAATGCTGTAAGGAACAGTTAAGCACGTTCTCATCTTAACATTCCAGCAGAGCAATAGTTGCATTCTCCTATGAATCAATCTAGAGTCCCCAATAAATGTAATCTATACCGATGTGTATTTGGGATGTACTATATACAGTGGGGCAAAAAAGTATTTAGTCAGCCACCGATTGTGCAAGTTCCCCCACTTAAAATGATGACAGAGGTCAGTAATTTGCACCAGAGGTACACTTCAACTGTGAGAGACAGAATGTGAAAAAAAATCCATGAATTCACATGGTAGGATTTGTAAAGAATTTATTCGTAAATTAGGGTGGAAAATAAGTATTTGGTCACCTCAAACAAGGAAAATCTCTGGCTCTCACAGACCTGTAACGTCTTCTGTAAGAAGCTTTTCTGTCCCCCACTCGTTACCTGTATGAATGGCACCTGTTTGAACTCATCATCTGTATAAAAGACACCTGTCCACAGCCTCAAACAGTCAGACTCCAAACTCCGCCATGGCCAAGACCAAAGAGCTTTCGAAGGACACCAGGAAAAGTATTGTAGACCTGCACCAGACTGGGAAGAGTGAATCTACAATAGGCAAGCAGCTTGGTGTGAAAAAATCAACTGTGGGAGCAATCATCAGAAAATGGAAGACATACAAGACCACTGATAATCTCCCTCGATCTGGGGCTCCACGCAAGATCTCATCCCGTGGGGTCAAAATGATCATGAGAACGGTGAGCAAAGATCCCAGAACCACACGGGGGGACCTGGTGAATGACCTGCAGAGAGCTGGGACCAAAGTAACAAAGGTCACCATCAGTAACACACTACAACGGCAGGGAATCAAATCCCGCAGTGCCAGACGTGTTCCGCTGCTGAAGCCAGTGCATGTCCAGGCCCGTCTGAAGTTTGCCAGAGAGCACATGGATGATACAGCAGAGGATTGGGAGAATGTCATGTGGTCAGATGAAACCAAAGTAGAACTTTTTGGTATAAACTCAACTCGTCGTGTTTGGAGGAAGAAGAATACTGAGTTGCATCCCAAGAACACCATACCTACTGTGAAGCATGGGGGTGGAAACATCATGCTATGGGGCTGTTTTTCTGCCAAGGGGACAGGACGACTGATCCGTGTTAAGGACAGAATGAATGGGGCCATGTATCGTGAGATTTTGAGCCAAAACCTCCTTCCATCAGTGAGAACTTTGAAGATGAAACGAAGGCTGGGTCTTCCAACATGACAATGATCCAAAACACACCGCCCGGGCAACAAAGGAGTGGCTCCGTAAGAAGCATTTGAAAGTCCTGGAGTGGCCTAGCCAGTCTCCAGACCTCAACCCCATAGAAAATCTGTGGCGGGAGTTGAAAGTCCGTGTTGCTCGGCGACAGCCCCAAAACATCACTGCTCTCGAGAAGATCTGCATGGAGGAATGGGCCAAAATACCAGCTACTGTGTGTGCAAACCTGGTAAAGACCTATAGTAAACGTTTGACCTCTGTTATTGCCAACAAAGGTTATGTTACAAAGTATTGAGTTGTATTTTTGTTATTGACCAAATACTTATTTTCCACCCTGATTTACGAATAAATTCTTTACAAATCCTACCATGTGGATTCATGGATTTTTTTTTTCACATTCTGTCTCTCACAGTTGAAGTGTACCTCTGGTGCAAATTACTGACCTCTGTCATCATTTTAGGTGGGGGAACTTGCACAATCGGTGGCTGACTAAATACTTTTTTGCCCCACTGTATCTGCAGCTGAGTACTGCAGTTTCAGTGCCACTGCCCTCTTAATGCTTCATATGCTGCTTCAGAAAGTTTCTGGAAAGAGACACAAGTCATGAGAACATGGAATTGATTAACTTAAAGTGAGACGTCAAATCCAGCGTATTGTGGAAATATTTGTAAGCAAAGGATGAACATTCAAAATGACTAACAAGCTGCTCAGTAGATTGAGGACACTCTCAAGTAACTTGGAGAGTTTGGATTTTCTAGCACAGAGCGCACTGTGTGATGGCTCTATACAAAAAGAAACTACAAGCAGGATCAAGGATGAAGCAAAGAGCTTCCATGATCAGACTGTTGCTACGAGAGTACCACAAGACCTGAGGTGAGTGCTGCATAGAAATACAGAGAAAAACTCAGGTTAAAGATTGCCTGGCAGAAGCTCACTATCCCAAAAACTGTGCCAGTTAGCTGACAGTAACATCAGATTGGCACAGGGGGAAATTTTCATCTTCATCGGATATCCATGACATCATCATGTTGCCTAGGAACCACCAAGCAATGGGATAAAATGTGCCTGTAGCTTTTGTGCACCCACAGCATCCTCGCCTTAATTCCACAACTCATTTATGCTCACAGAAGCTGATGCCTAGCAATGGGATAAAATGACACTTTTTTCTTTTTTCTTTTCTTGTAATTTAACTAATGATTCACAAAGTGTGGACTCCAATTAAACCCCAGAAAGCCATTAAAATTTTTTAAAGTACATAAAATACCTAAAATTTTAATTTTCATTGTAATTTAGCTTGAATTTGCCTTTCATATTTTCATTAAAAGGCAATTGGATCTAAAAACAAGATGTCATTTTTATTTTTTATTTTTTTACCCACTTTGTTTTTTGTTTTTTTTTTTAGCTTGGTGGTCATAGAAAACTAAAATGGAGTAGTGTCATTCAGGTAGAAAGCAGTGCTATTAATGGAGCATGAATGAGTCAAAACTCTAAAAAGAAAATATTTCATTGTGGGCTGTGAGAAGATCAGGGTGGAAAGGTTTGGGTGGAACACAGAATTTCAGAATTTAAAATATGTTTTTAAAAGTGCAATTCACGACTGAACCGCCAATTATTATCTGATGAACAGAATCACAGAGAATTTACTGAATTTACTGATACAAGTAAAAACACATCTGTGTGACTTTCATATACACACATAATCACACATCTAGTCTGTCAATCAGAGGTTTGAATAGTTATAAATACACCCATCGGGGCAAATGCTCAGCATACTTACAGTGGGGATATGCTGCTGTTTCAGGGGACAGAAGAGGGGAGGTGGAATACCTCATGAGTATCTGGTTTATCTCACCCCATCACCACCAGCCTGTCAATATACACTTCAGTTCCAAGAAATGTCCACCAGAGGGTGATTTAAGACTACAAGCTAACTGCAGTTGGAGCCTTTTTAGACACACCAGAAAGAATCTTAGGAGTTGTAGTTAAAATGCAAAAACACAGTGGTAGCGACTGAAATAGCTGCTTTACCAGGACACCGGTGACACTGGTGGATTGTCGTGAAACTTAAAAGAAGTTTAGCAACAGCTACACGATATTACAATGGAGACCAAAAGCTGCTGGTTAGAATTTTAATGAGAAGAAGTGGCATTCACATACACAGCATGCCGTCAGGTATTAGCACTCTGATGTCAATTATGGGTCATTTTCAGCAACAATGTGATTCTTTATGTCATAACAACAAATGCCCAAAATCCCACTTTTTGTACACATAATCAAATCTTAAGTTCACTCATTTTTTTCAATTCTTTAACTGGAACTGATTTAAAAAGTACTTGAAATGATATAGATTTAAATAAAAATATATACTCACTGGCTTGCCGTGCTTTGTCCATGTAGGTGGTGGAGAGTTCATCATTTACAGGCATCTGCTGTGGTCCCACCATAGGCACCAGATGTTTCCCAGACACTAACATTAGAGCCTCTTTCGCCCTTTCTGGAGACACTAGGGGTGGGCAGGCAAGCCCATTGCAGCCCCCTGCCTCCTGGAAGCCACTGTCTCCTTCTTCTTCTGCTTCCACCAACCCCTGATCGGGAGTCGGGGTGATCATGTGAGGAGTCAGCGAGTGGGGTGTGTGTGTAGGAGTGGTCCACTCTGTCTGGCGAGGCTGATAGATGAGCTCTCTGCGAGGAACACCAGCAGCACACTGGCCATCCCACATCGCCTGCGAGGTAACGCCTGCATCTGTAGCACTCTCATAGCTTGTAAAATAAAACAGGATGGAACAAAGCTAATCAAATTTATTATAAGATTAGAAGGTGAAAGACTTTCATAGTGGGTTAGCTAACTGTATACATCTTAGACTTTAATCCATATAATCCAATAATATATAATGTGTCGCCCTAAAAATGTTATTAAAATACGACAGGATGCCGAGTTTTCAAGGGTTTTTAGCAATTTGCTGCTGGAGCTCCACTTCTAAACACTAATAAAAAGTTTAAAATATTACTTTTTAGTCAAACTTCTTTTAAATATGTTAAATTTCTGGGAAGAATGATTAAAGGGGTGGAACGTCTGCTCTCCATCTCTTACCCACTCATCTCTGAGGTCTCCTCCTCTTCTTGCCTGTCGTAGCGTGAAGGTGAGCGTGCGTGAGGAGGTGTGCGACGATGCCGGCGGTGTGTGCGCGAGTTTGTGTCTGCGTCACTGTCTGTTTCTCCATAATAAGCCTCACTGTCTGGAGGGGAGGTAATACCCTGGGGTATCTCGACAGAGGAGAGGATGGAGAAGCTGTTGGAGTCTGCAGTAGGAGACAGGACCCTCATGGAGGAGAGGGGGGATGCAGAGCAACCAGAGTAAGATGAGCACTGCAAGCCAGAAGGTGCCCTAAAATCACAGGGATGTCAAGGTGTGAAAATACAGTTGGTACGATATGACAGCAAGACTGTTGTTTACTGTATGTGAGTGTCCCTGCTCTGACCTTTTGACTCTGAGCATTAGTGTGTTGCTCTGTTTATCTATGAGGCTCATGGCCTCAGCATGACTGAGCTCTGCACAGGCTTGATCACCAATGGCCACCAGCTCATCATGTTCCTTCAGTCCAGCTCGGCATGCTTTGCTACGCCTGCGTACCTGTAGAGAAGAAAAAAGGTGAGTGAATCATTTATATTTGTGCCCATGTAAAAGCAGAGCAGACACGTTGTTTAATCGTTTCAGGCTCTGCTTTGCATCATCTTTTACACTTTATTAGTTATTTGACCTTTTAGGTGTGAAACCGCTCTAAAATGATCTATATCATCAACCTGTTGTTACCTATTACATTATATTTGACACAGAGCAGGTCACTGAACCCTGATTCCTTCCACTGGCCTTGAATATGCTGCCACTAGCATGGATATTTACAATACTCAACCGAGTATCCCAGAGTAAGATGTAAGTAAGACATCCCACAATGTTGCCCACAAAAAACAGTTTTCTAATAAAGTTTGTCTAAAATAATATTTTTATGCTTTCTTTTCCATTACTTGAGGGAGATCTATAGTGGGCAGTATATCGTCTTAATGTTATTGTTGCACACATTCCTGCCTTTATATTGTCTTCTCTCATGCTTTTAAAATAGAGTTTAATCTGAAGCTGTGTTTCATAGAATTTAGAGCTATAATCCAGATTTCTTTCATAAAAACTTAGAGCTTGAAGTTTGGTTAGAAGTGTAATCCACCTCCTCCATCTCAACATTTTCTGCACTGGAGGACACTGAATTTGGCTGAAAAGAGGCACGTTATTTTTTTTCCTTTTGGGTTTTACGTGGCTGTATTTGGGTTTTTGCTGTCCTTTTTTACTTGTTTAAACTAAGTCGTCTAAGTTTAAGTGTAACTATTTCGTTTTTTTGAGGGGTCTACTATGCATAATGTATTTTATACAAGAACTTTAAAGTGAAATGATCTTGTACGTCTTCTTCTGTTTAATTGTGTTTTTTAAATAGGATTTTTTATCAGTACATACTGAACAGCATTTACACGGATAGTGATATCTCTGATAGGCTAATATCAGCCATTAATACCAAACTATATGTCAGTCTGCTTCTAACAAAACATGGTGACGTGTTTGAGGTCCCTGCACAGTCGTGCCTTAGTATGATACTATATTGTTTTTTCCTAATAAAAATCTTTGATTGCTCCTGCACAGGCACAGAAACGCTGTCAAGTATTTGTTAGCTTATTTTTTTATGTCTGACTATATAAAAGTGACCAAAAACATTCTGCAACATGCAGCTCTCCTTTAGCGGCAGTCATTATCGTCCCTGCATCGGAATTAACTTGTGAAGTCATGCAGCTGTTGCTGAAGGTCACTAAGAGATGAGGTCATAGGATCCTTCAGGAAATATGTCTGCTGGGGGGTAGACGCTACTGCGGGAGTGATAGATTGTATAGATGGAAAGGCGACTATTCTTGCCTGATAGATTATAATTACCTCTAAGAGAAAAGGATAAAGCTATCCAATCTGTAGCCTCACATAAACACACTGATACACATACTTTATCGCTGCTGAAGGTAAAAATGTTAATTGTGTTCAAGTGCCTCCTTTGCCTTTATCAGTATCTCCTGACCCAATAATCCAACTCTGTCGTCATACAAGCAAAGCAAGGACAAGCTATTTATCTCCAGCCAATGTACACACACATGTACACACACAGCTCAAGTGAGCATCATGAAAGAGGGGGTTTGAACAGCTGCTTCACCAGTCTGGACCATGGGGCATGCCTGTCATTCACCATATGTTGCCCACATACCCGAAATAAAACCTTGCAGAAAAATCACCCACATTCTTACACAAATGGGGGAAAGACAGATGCTACTATTATGGATAAAACACACACACACATACAGGCATGCAAAAGTAGAATTAATTAAAAAGGAAAGAAAATGTGTGTGTTTGTGTGTGTGCCTGTATTTTTTTATGTGACCAAGAGGTCGTCCTTTTTCCATGCTCAGCTTCCAGCTCCTCTTAGATGAGCTATTCTGATCCTCTGGTCCTCTCCATTCCCAACTGGGCTTATCTGAGGTATGCCCAACCACACATAAACACACACCAACAGACTAAAGCACACACTCATCACTGATCAACCTCCCATCAAACTCCCTTTTCCACTTGAAAGTCTTTAATGAAAAGAAGCACGTTTCTGAATCAGACATTTTGGCTGCTCGTGGGTGAATGATGGACTTTCAGTGTGAGCGAGTCCACATTCCTGCTTTCCAGAATAGCTTTTCCCATTAGAGAGCACATTCTGGACTGTCATCAAAAATAAACAGAGATGCAAAAAGCCTTTAGAGAAACCCAGCCAGAAAAAAAATCTCTTAGGCTTGAAGATGGATTAATGTGTCACACAAATATGTGACAGTGAGAAATATGAAACAAGTTCATTACCTGTTGTAGGTGTGTTCACAATAGCCGGACGTGTACTCATATACATGGATGACATACGAACCTGTTTCAAAGAAATCCAGGGATGGAACTCGAGTCAAACCCCAAACATGTGTTCACGCTGCTCACTGACCCACTAATTCACTCAAAACAGGTGAGGCACAAAGTGAACTGGGCCACAGCCAAACGAGTGTCAGGAACAGTGGCCAGAATTCCCTTCCCCTCTGTCAAGTATTGTAATGCAATTATTACATTTTTTTAACTAGTTTTGTTTCTTTGTAAAATGACTAGAAGCAAAAGGAAAATGCATTCATATATTTCAATAAAGTTTTTTGTTTTTTTTACAATCATTCATACGGACAGGTAATCCTCCTTCCCCAAAAGCCAGTTTGGAGCCAGGAAAAATCCTGAACTGTCAAAACTGTGTGAACTTGAAGGGACATTACTTTTATTCAGAAGTTTATATAAGATTACACTCACTCATTAATTAATTAAAAAAATTAAAATCATTTTTAAACGAATTTGCCCATCAAGGAAGTCATTCTTGCCTTTCTAGGCAAGAACAAGTAAATGTAAAATAGCAAGTATATTAGTTTAGTTTCTGGATAGGTGAATTTATTTAATATTTATTTATTTAAATATTTTGTTAGATGCCACTTTTATACTGCAGTTTTTTTTATTATTATGTCACAGTAATGCTATTTGTTAGAGGCAAAGTTTCATATTTTCAAAAAAAAATACAAACATTGACTCACAATCACAATCAATTCATGTAAATTATATTGGAAAAACTTCACTAAATTGATGAAGGCTGAAATGTAAGATGTTAGTTTTGTAAGTACATGGAATAGTTTTAGTTTGTTTTGTTTAGATTTTGTGTTAATTCCAGTTAACTGAAATGTATTTTTGCTCCTAGTTTTAGTTCAGTTTTATTTAATTAGAATAACATAAGGACAGCACAGTGAAACAGTTTCAAGCCAGATGTAATTTAGCTATTCAAAATCCTAAAAACACCTACAAGAACCAGAAAGTAAAATCTCTAGTGACTCTAGTGCAGCTGATTCATTTATTCGTATTTCAGGTCAGATTACAAACCACAAGACTCGCTGAGGGCTGAGCCTACAGTTAACAGCTGCAATCTCCATCAAATCGTCTACTCACATTACTACCTTGGCAGCAAACTTGACTGCAACATACTGCATGCATACACATATATCAGATCTACTGTACCTTGGCCACCTGTAGAGGTTTTTGCTGCTCAGCTCCTCCCTGGAGTCTGAAACCCCACGGGGCTCCTCCTGAGAGAGACACCACAATCTCCTCAGCTACCATTCCTGCTCTCAGCTCACAGCCTGCTGTGTGCCTGTGTGGTGGTGTATATGCTGCTCTCCCCTTCTTCAGTTCCTCACACTCTGTGAGTATCAATAGGTATCTCACTGCTTTCCGTCACTCCACCCATGAGGAGACAGAGGGTGGCTGGCTTTCATCTGCTCACGCTGGAATGCTGTGTCAGAGGGTGGGAGCTCAGCAGGGTGAGAAGGGGCAAAAGTGTGTAGCGTGCTTGTGTGTATGTGTGTGTGCATTCGTCCTCACTTGGATTCAACACTTGCCATGTCACTCTCCAGCACCCTGTCCTGCAAGGGGCACTTACTGATATATCCTCCAGAAATAACCATCAGCACCACTCCCTCTTCAACCCCCCCCCAGCTCAGCAAGCCTGACCAGCACCCGCGGTACATGGATCAGTCTTCTTAATGGATGACTATCCAATCTGACAGTTTCAGAGTGGGTGCTAAAGGGACTTCTGGCTCTGAGGAAGTAGAGGTTTGGTGCTGTAGCTGACTTTGTGAAAACTGTTACAGTTATTTCAATAAATGAGGAGCTTGGCTGATGTATTAAAGCTTCATCACATCAGACGTCGCTAAAGGAAGGCACATGATTAAAGAATTTGTACTTGACTACCTGATCCAAATTGCAAACCCATTTGAGATGATTCGAAAGAGAAATTGTCCTGCATTTTGCAAGCTCAAAATGCGGACAGATTTGGCAGTTCTACAGTGTATTGGCTTCTTCTGGCTTACATTTAGAGGCGCTGGAAGTTGGCCGCATGTGCTCACACATATTCAGATGGCTACCTCATATCACATTGTGATTATTTGATGAATAGCCAACACTCCTAACCGAGAAAGATAAAACCAGCATCCCTGAAGAGGGTAGCATGGGCTATCAGGAGAACTTTTTGGTGTATGTTCTGTATGGTCTGTTGTTAGCCAGAATGCTCAAAATGCTACAGAGGACAGGCATTTAAAAACTGATGGATTGGGGGTTTGTCGTCTTAAATTTTTTGAGGTTTTTACTGAGATCTTTATCTATTTATTTATTTTTATTTTATTTACTGGCTGTACCACAGCGATGATGATTTACACCAAATGGCATTTCTGATGTATCCAAGCTTCAGACTGGAAGGAGTAGAGTGGCTCTTGGCAAGAGGGAAATGGAAGGTTTACAAGATGGTGAAACCTGCTACATTATATGGTTTGGACTTGTTAGCACTGAAAAAAGACAGAAGGCAGAGCTCCTAAGGATACAACAACACCATTACTATGTACATTTATAGCTACTTTTACTTTCTAAGTAGGTAAAATACTTATTCCACCAAAGAGGAAAAAAGAATACTCAATATAAATAGATTCTGAAACTCTTTTTCAGTGCAACATTTGCATTGCAACTGTTTTGCAGCACCTATGTTAACACATAATATGGGTGCTAGAGTTCCATAATACAGTGTCTATATCAGGGAACAAGTTTTCGACACTAGTTTAAAGATTTTCCATATGCCAGATGCCACAAACCAAACCTGTTACCCCATGGGGTAAAACTTTAATTTATTTTTATTTTATTTATTTATTGGTATTATTGCAATGAAAATTCAGTTATTCTTAATGATGAGATATTGTCATGTATGTTGCGGGTCCTGAGGACAAATTTCATTTTTATGTGGAAACATGTAAATGAAAATGAAAAGGGACTAAATTTAAACCTAAATATACATTTCTATTTTTAAATGTTTTGCCACTACATACACATTTTTATTGTATTTTATTGTAAAACTGAGACTGAATAAACTCCTCGGGAAGTTGGCATGAAACTCACCATCCTGGAGGAGATGGTCGGTGACAGAATTCTGGAAATCATGTATATTAGTACTTATGTCTTTCTATATTTATATTGATATCTTTATTTCTTTTTCTCTGTTATATCTCTATTTTTGTATTGGATTTATTGTGTGTTTTATGTATACTGCTGTGACATCTCAAGTTCCTTCTGATCTGACCTTATCTGAACAAAACTGCTCAAAAGTGACTCTTTTTTTTTTTTTTAGTAAGGGTTGATTACCCTGACCCCAGCAGTACCCTTCCTCCACTGGTTTTTGGTCCCCTCTGTGCCACCACAAATATCATGAAACAGCCCCTGTTTAATAACTTTTATTAATAACTATCAATGCTTTGATTAAAAAGACTCCCGTTTTGCATGTTAAATAGTTGGCTGCCGATACCGTATACCAATTACACCGCTGCCTTGTCAAATTCCCGAAGAAAAGGTGAAAAAACAAACCCCAATTCTTACAATGAAACCAAAACTCTCACAGAGCAGCCTGAACAGCTTCCAGCAACCACTGCTGCGCTCTCTCGGAGGAAGTCACTTTGCGGAGTCCGGATGTGGACGTGGCACAGCGCTGCAGCAGTTCCGCTGAATGTCCGCTTCTGATACCGAGAAGGGATTAGTGAGCAACACCCCGGTACGACATCGGCGTCTCAGTTTGTCGACCACCGGGCTTCAGAGTTTGCATCAAATCTAGGACAGCCTTACTATTTACATCACTTTGGAGGTAGGTTTAGGTTTTGATACGGTTTATTCTTTGCCATCCCCCTCCCGGCTTCGCTGGGGATCTTGGATTTCGCTACGTTTGCTAATGCTTGGCTAATGCTAAGGCACTGCTAGCACCGCTCTGACGAAAAGCTAGGAGATTACGAGCTAACTTAGCATTTGGTCACAGCTGATGTGCTGTCATGATTCAGGCTGTGTGGTTGCTAACATTAGCATGCTGGGGTAGCTGGAGTGTGGTTAAATAAGGAACGTGTCCTGCTTTGACCCCTACTTAGAGTCAGAACAGTTACTTGTATAATAAGAGAGGCAAGTTGTTTTTGGCTCTTGGTTGACATGTTGTCCGGCTAATGTTAGCATTGCTAGCGAGCTAATTATAATGCGGCGGCATTACTACTCGCCAGATTTCACACTTTCCTCCTACAAAACAGTCTTTTCCCTACCTGGCACTTGTTTTTTATTCTCAAACACCCTATTTCTGTGTGAGTTTTAAAAAGTTCTCCGATGTTTGGATAAAATTACTAGCCCAAACCTTTAGCAGTGCACCTTAGAACAGATGTGGGTCACTCGGTAGGCCCGACATAGTAAAAGAACAGTTACGGTTCCAGCGATTGTGTTTCTCGCTGTGGCACCTGCACTGCTGAATTATTCAATGGCCCCGCTCGTTTAGCTCGTGTTTGTCTGTCAGACGATACTGATCACTAATGTCTTATATTTTAGGCCTGTGTCCAGGAACAAAGTGAATAAAAACACCACTCACCCACATCTGTTAGCAGGGTTAAAGTTGACATGTGTTGGAGTTATGCTCATAAAGTTGGTTTTCATAATTCAGCATTTGGTTTCTTCTCACTGCCTTAATTAGTTTTTATTTTATGTTATTGACGATTTAGGATTGACTTACTTTCCTACTTTCCATCTTCTCATTTGAGATATTTTGAGTGTGGTTTTCATCACTTTAAGTATTAGATTTTATAAGTTGTTTAGAAAAGTCATGGCAAGACAACACTGACTTTCTGTGATGCAGACAGCATGAAAAGTTGCTTACATGCATTTTATTGGCTTATTTAACCAGCTTGACAACGTCTAAAACCCATTTCTTAAATGGTTATTTTAGTTTTCTAACTATACAGTCTTTAGATATAACTAGTCATAACTATTTTTTTAATCCTTTTAGTTGTCTACAATACTTTCTCTTTAATAACTTGTAAAACCTGTACTCAGGTATTATTTGATACTATCTTTAATACCACTTTCACAGCTGCAAAAGAGTTGTATAATAATTTTGCATTTTGTGTCTTTTTAGCAATAGGTGTTTGATATTAATGTTTGTTTACTTTCTTTTGGTTGTAATCTTTTTATTTAATGTTATTTAATTTTTGTAGCACATTGTGTAAAAACTCAAAAGGCTGAGGGTGTGGCCAAGTCAAACATAAAAAGCCAATAAAGGTTTTGTCACTGAACCAGGAAATGTTAATGTCATAAGTCAGTGGGATTTAAATAATAAATAAATAATAATGTCAGACTGTAGACAGTTAGAGTTTAGAGTCCTGCAGGGCAAAGCTCTTCTGTGTCAGTTTGCCTGTTTTTTAGTTCAGGTGCTTGGTGCCAAAAACTTCATTTTGGATCTATTATGTTTTATGTGGGTGTTAAGATCTTGTTATTTTAGTTAGACTTACTGTTTAAACTGCTTTGGAAAAAAACGTTTTCTTAAACATGACAGTTGTCAGTAAATTTTCTAGCAGTATGTGCAAGCACTGCTGTGGACAGATTCCCCCTGCTCTTTGAAAGAGTCCGTGTCTTTGTTTCAGAGAAACACAATACCTTCACAACAGCCTTTATCAGTACCGTCCTTATTTCAGGGGCTTTCACACTACAGGTGCCCTGGTTGTATTATTGTTCACACACACGAAGCAGGCAAAACAAGTTTAGTCCTTAACTATGACATCTAAGTAACTAACTGTATTGTTATTTCACAATTTCATCCAGATTTAGGGATGAACTGAGGATGAATGTAAACCAGCACACGCCAATGGCCTCTCCATATGGCCAGCCCCAGCCTAGTTTTGGCCAGCCTGGTTACGCTCCCCTGGATGGGAGCTATCCAGCACCCTACGCACCCTACAATGGCCCTGCGTCAGCCTATCAGCCTGGGGCTCCACCGCAAGGTAAAGTGCAGTTTGTTAAAAAATGTGTGCATGAGTGAGACATCCAGCAGTTCAGGTAGGCTGTACTTTAAGCATTCAGAGGGATATAACCTTGGAGTGTCCTACATGCCTCCTGCCATGTGAGTGATCATGTATGTGTGAGAAAAGCACAGCACCTGTGCATACTAATCTGATTCTCAGCTGCCCTCTCCTTCCTTCACTTTGCTTCATGCACTTCTCTTCACCTTCTTGTATTTGCCTCCTTCCCCTCTTTTCTTCTATTTCAGGTTACTCTCCTTTCACAAGCTTTCCCTCTAAGGCTTTGGCAGCCAACCCAGTCTCTGACCTCCCCTCTCCTCTTGACTTAGGTAACCAGCTCATCTCTGTTTCTCACTCATTTCACACTTCATATGCCCTGCAATCATCAAATCCTCTCTGTACCTGCAGGTATTATTCTTCCTGCTGTGTCATTTTTCTCAGCATATAATTGAACATCTTTCTGAGACTAATGCCAGTGACGTTCAAGTACAGCAGCCAACTATACACCAACCTTTGT